GCGTGTCATCTCTTACCATAATATAAAAGCTACATATCTGATTACATTAGACTGACAGACGTCATATTTCCGAATATCAGAATACTGTCAAGTTATGTGGTCTCAAATCTACAACTCTGGACACATCGAAGGAAGTCGTAAACCGAAGTCTGTTTATGCTGGATGTCCGAACCTTATTTAGGTACACGTGTTGCTCTTTTCTTTGCTTACCACGTGCCCGCAGAGGACGGACGAACAAACGAATGATCGTGTGTCTTAGATCTATTTTTACAACAGCCACATGCAGATGCACTTACCGTGTGTATGCATTCCCATTACGCCGTTTCTGTACCAGGAAACTCTCGACTCTTCGTTCTTCGCTGTTGTCGTGACCTTGAATTCTGGAAGGAAAAGTGAGTTGTTAATAAAAGTAATTGAGGAGATCAATCAAGCATGAAAGCAAAAATTACATTGCTGCACTCCATCTTGTTTGTACACATTCTTGGTAAAATGGCTCAAAGAGGTCTGCATGAATGATTTGAGGTTTTCACAGCGATGAGTATGAAGATCCTATCTTCTGGGTTGTTGCGCTGTATAGTCTGGTCGATGTTTACCAACGTTTCAGAGGTCATACTGCCTCCGTCATCAGGGCGATGAGTATGAAGATTTCTGTCTTCTGAGTTGTTGCGCTGTGTAGTCTGGTCGATGTTAACCAACGTTTCGGAGGTCATACTGCCTCCGTCATCAGGGCGATGAGTATGAAGATTTCTGTCTTCTGAGTTGTTGCGCTGTGTAGTCTGGTCGATGTTAACCAACGTTTCGGAGGTCATACTGCCTCCGTCATCAGGGCGATGAGTATGAAGATTTCTGTCTTCTGAGTTGTTGCGCTGTGTAGTCTGGTCGATGTTAACCAACGTTTCGGAGGTCATACTGCCTCCGTCATCAGGGCGATGAGTATGAAGATTTCTGTCTTCTGAGTTGTTGCGCTGTGTAGTCTGGTCGATGTTAACCAACGTTTCGGAGGTCATACTGCCTCCGTCATCAGGGCGATGAGTATGAAGATTTCTGTCTTCTGAGTTGTTGCGCTGTGTAGTCTGGTCGATGTTAACCAACGTTTCGGAGGTCATACTGCCTCCGTCATCAGGGCGATTCATCAACAACAACCCAGAAAACAGAAATCTTCATACTCACCGCTGTGAAAACCTCAGATCATACATAACCACAGATAGGTACAGAAAGAAACGCGCCTTCCCAAACTGAGAAGTGTCCACCTGAGCGACCCTGGCATTCCTTTTTAATTGACAGCAGCGGGCCGGAACAAAGCGAACTTAAAAGGCAGGCCTGTACTAATGATAAGCGTGACGATTGGGACCCCGGGATTCCCCAGCTGACTACAGTTGCCAAACATTTCTCCACGTCCTTCTTCTTAATCAGGTAGCAGGCTGGCGTTGGACGGATAGTTGGTTCGAATCTGGTCAGTTTACCGACTATCCTGACTGAGGGTTCGACTCGGTGATGACCTGCACTGGCCAGCTGATGTTAAGAGGTTAGCGTGTCCTTGATACTGCCGTTGCCATGCCAGTCCCATTAGGCGTCGCTGGAGGTCGGCCAGGTTATTTCACGTGATCTGTCGGTATGTTTTATTTTTCCGACACTAAATACATCGCGAGAGGTCCCGAAGTATCCCAGTGCATCTGCTTCTTTCTAATTCAGGAACTGAGACGACGGCATAGGCTCGGCGCCACCTCGTGACCTTTCTCCTTATCTCGTCTCTCTCACTCATTATATTCACGACGAACCAAGCTGTGAGACAGTGAGATAGATAATAATTACGTAAGTTATCAAAAACAAGGTTTGGGACGAACGTCAGACGCCTGCCTTTCTTCTCAGGATTATGTGGTGATACCAAATTACTGGTTCTTTATAAATTTCTGTGCGTAATTTTCACTACGCTGAATTTGTCACATACAATCTCAAAGTCTCGTATTATCGCCTTCTTTTAATTCGTTAATACGTATTTTACATACATTTACACGCAAAATGTGTACGATACAAGTAGACTTTATAAATCGTCGACAGTTTTTCGTCTTATATCTAAATGGAACGAAACGCACTGAAACTATTATTTTATAAATTGCGCTATTGTTGAATAAAGATTTTTTTAAAAAAACTGCGCCTGAAATGGTTTATAACAGTTCTTCATTATTTTTCATGGCATCGCTCAAGAACTCCACAGAAAGATTGCACAAAAATGGAGGGGCAAATTCACGACAAACTGAAATGAGCTTTGAGTGAGGCAAATCACAAATAAATGTTTGCCCATAATGTGTTATATCACACATCGTTTTGATCATGTAGCATGCCATATCGCGAGGCGCACGAAGCTCTCACACGGACGATGTGCCACTCAGGTTGATATTGATAGCGACCAATCTGTAAATTAGCGGTTGACGGGTGGTAAGTGTCTGCCTCGCGATTCACACACTAATCGATATTAAATTCTGACCTCTGTCGCATCCCATGCAGACGTCATTTAAACAAGCAGTCACATATCCAATGGATGTAACACGAAAGACCGATGACTTCCATCCACGGCATTTCTGGATGTGGCGAACTGAATTTTTAAAGAAACAGAAGCGCTGTATGATACATGATGCATTGCACGTGTCATGAAATTGCAAGGACATTGCCAGTTAAAACAGTGATATAATGATGACATTATGATTATCCAGCATAAGATATATATACAGGCTGTGCAACAGTACATAAGCATACTACTTCTTGGTTTTTAAGTAGTTGGTAAATTATAGAGTGAAGTCGAGAAGGAACAAACGACTTTGTAAACTATATTTGTGTATGTAATAAATGTACATCAAGGCCAGTGTCGTATGAGAAACAGTGAAGAAATCTTTTGGAAAATACGTCTGCTGTAGTGGATTACACTTTGCTACTCTTGTCAAAAAGCTATTGCAACAGCAGTCAAGAAATGATGTCGCAAACAAAATCTTTACAATTTGAAGGCCGTGCCGTGTCGTGTGGTAGAAGACAGAAATCCTCGTACTAGCCGCCGTGAGAATCTGAAATCTCATCTTTTTACAGCTTATTGTTTCAGGATCTTTTCCAGCACTTGAGGAGGTTTGATAAGCGCCTTGCAGCGTGACGGTTGTTAATGACGGGTACAAACGTTCAAAGCTCACGTTCTTCTGCCGTCTTCAGCTGCAGAAACGTCAAGCACAGAATCGAAATTGAGCGGTCGTAAGTTCTGTTATTTTGCTACCAAACCGTGATGAGTTATCGGCGAACTGAATTCGTCTCCTTCTTTATGTAATTGTGTTTCAAGTTCTTCAAGGGAAACAATGGAGATACTGTCAAAATTGTCAGCCATGAGGCCATTAGACCTCTTACTGTCAGAATATAGGATACATGTAATAACGTAGAACAATAGACAAACACAGGGCGATACTTGAATAACATATAATCAATACTTTGCCTCTATGGTATTATAATGTCATTAAAAACAAAATAATTTTCATAAGTTTGCTACTTTAGTTTGTATGTTGTGGATTGTATTTCATAATCTGCCATATATTGTGACAGGGTGTTATAAAGGTCATCCTTTAAATGTATGTTAGAAGACTGACCTTTTACACTACACACTTTATATAGAATTTATCGTTTAAATGTCTCACCGAGAACGGTGTTATCTAAGATATTCCCCTTGCAATTAATTCCACACACTTCAGCGTAATTCTTTCGTACATAGTATTATATAAGTAAAATAACCTGAATATTTGATACGGTGTTCATAAATAATGTAAAACTAAATGTTGAGAACCGTGAATACGGAGAATTCGTTTCAAATTGAATTCTGGTAAGAGTTACATGTATTTCGGGATGACATTAAAAATGAGAAACATTTTTAAAATGTTAATTCATTTTACGGCACAAATGTAGTCTCCTGCTTTATTGGCGTTTAATTTTAAGTAAGGATTGTTTAACAACTAACAACTACAACCGCTAATAACAATGACGCTGTGTTTTCTTGTAATCTTCCGAATGTGCACTTTGATGATTTTCAGCTTCTCGTAGTTTAACTTTCAAATTAAGTACGTAAGCCGGTGCAGAAGCGTCGCAAACATAATCCGAATTTTAAATATCACATCTTGTAAAAAGGGTGCGGCCGAGTGTTACAGTAACAGAATGCCGATTAAAATGCAACGATATATCTCATAATCAGAACAGTTATTAAGCATGCCACTGAAACAAGAGATAAACACAGTAAATATGTTCAAGTTCATGGAATCATTCTATGTAAACATCGTATTGAGGACAGGCAGAGATAATCTTCAATCGGTGAAATCATGTTTATACACATTTAATTTTATGAAGTCAAGATTGATGCACAACAAACCACCTACGAGCTACGCGTTGTGCCACTTTATCGCTCTCATTACTGGAGGTCTTTGAAGAACATTTTGAGGTACCACTATCGGATATTATGGGTGCAGATTCGAATTCAGCTCACGGAGAACTTTAACGGAAATCGAATTAACAGAACATGGAACATTTATTTTACACTTGTCCGAATGTTTTAGAACCTGGGATTCAATGCAAAATCGGGTGTGAGCCACATCGAATGTTGATTACTAACGAGCGTTTCGGCAAATATTGCAGTTAATATCTTCAGGTCGAATTTGTAGTAGTGGGAGGATTTCTGGAAGGTTTATATATAGGTCAGCCAGTAGGTGGCCACCAACCTGCGCTCTGAAAAATCGCTAAGAAAGAACTAACAGATATGAGTATTTCAAATTGGAGTACAATTCTTCCTCCTCCCTTTACACATCTACATTTCTCGCCCGGTCAGCCCAAAAATACTGTTCGCTGCGGGACATAATCGCGATAAGTATTTTGGAATGTTCTATTAGCATCTGTGATGGCTGACAACTCTCACCGGTATTAGACACGTGGTCCTCCTGATCAGAAGTATTATTAATTCAGCGCTCATCAATATCTAGGTGTTACAGAAAGTAATGCGACCGACTGATGACATCGCATGATGGATGTGACAAGAGTACACAGTGATCCACTTCTCCTGTAGGCCTCTTAGCCTATGAACTAATCTGAAGTGATATAAAAATATAAGCGTGCCCCAGAAATACGGATTAGTATGATAATTCTGAATAAATTAGCATGCGTTTTGTTCAGTGATAAACGATGTAGGCCAAGCTAACACATAAAGAAGCACGTTAGTGGTAGCAGATAGGCCCAAGATTGATTACTTATATTACACAGGGAATAAATACTATATAAAAATGTAGCAATAATAACCAAAAGCAAAATATGACTAGATCCATGCTTAGAAACCAACACGCAAAAGATTTTGCCGCCCAAAGAATCCTCC